ATGAAGGATAGGAGTTAACAAGACTGAAATTCTCCTTTAGTGTATTATAAGGCAATGAATATTTAGGCAATTCAGTTTAGTAAGGTAACTGAAAGTATATTGAAGTGTATCATATAGTCTTAATAAAAATCACACAGCTGAAAATCAGCTCTCTAGATTCAAGATGTGACTCTTTGTCACTTAATCCATCTATGTTTCTTGTGCTTTTAAGCTTTAAATTTAACTTAGAATTTATTTGTGTTTTTTGTTAATTGTAAATGTTTAGATTTGTTATTAAATAAAGTATATAGTCAAGTCAAGTCACCTTTATTTATATAGCGCTTTTAACAATACAGATTGTGTCAAAGCAACTGAACAGCATTAATTAGGAAAATAGTGTGTCAATAATGCAAAATGACAATAGTAAACACTAATTTTCCAGTTAAAGGCAGTTTATCATTGAATTCAGTGATCTGGCCAGACAAAACCAGCAGTTCAATTTCAGGCTGCAGCAAAGTCACATTGTGCAGAGGAATCATCTGGTTCCTGTGGTCTAGTCCCGGTGGTCTAAACCCTTAAATGCCACAAACTATGTAAAGTAAGAATTTATAAAGTATTTCAATGTGTAATTTCAATTATGAGTTGCATAAAGCATGGTTATAACATACAAACATAATGTTAATGTGGGAAACCAAATGGACCTAAATGGTAATCTGGTTCAACTTTCTTCAGTTTGTGAAATACAATAAATGTTTTGTTACTTATCTCATAAGAAAATCACAGGAGTCAGAATTTATGTTATTCTTCTGGAGAATAAGACCTTTCTACCATAGAGTATATAAATGAGAAAATACATAAAAAGCAATTATCACTTGTTTGCAAGTATCTTTTTTCATAGTTAAAGAATTCTGCTGTAATAAGGTTATAATTTATCTGTTTTACACTCTCTTTATCACACATTCATGAGACATGACATGGTGTAAGTCTTATCGGAGTTCTGTGAACTGCACACAGCTTTAAAGTTGATGCTGGTTTGTCAAAGTCCCACTAGAGGTACCATCCAGAGTTCTTCAAACAATGAATGGAGGACGTTGAATGCCAGCTTTTCTTTTTATTTCGTTTTTCCCAAGCCAATAAAGTGCAGAGTGCTCACAGGTGCAAAACATAGAAAAAAATCCATAGGGGAAAATCCCTTACGGGTACCAAGAAAAATCCTACTTCAAAGTACAAAAACAAACAAACAAAAACAAACAACCTTGGTTCAGGTATAACAATGATTCAATCAGAGTACTCCTCAATAGCTACTGCACCCCAGCTAAAGACTTCCTGACTGCTTCATTACGTGAGAATTTATACACCTGGGTTCAACCATTTCCCAGAAGCCGTAATATCACATGAAAATAATATGAAGTATTAACACATAAAAGGATTAAACATTGAATAACACTATTTCCTTCAATACACCAAATATCAATAGCACAATATACCATAACTTCAATTTAGCAATAATTATAGAAAGTCAAATACAAGAACTCATAAAACAGTTTCCACCCCTTTCCACTCATACTTGGTATCTCCCACTCCCCATGATGCAACACAGCAAAGGTATAAAAAGGCTAACAAAAGTCCTTTCGGGTCTTTTACTCAGTTCAAGATGGCCACCACTATGTATGCTGATCCAGGTAATGGCCAACAGTTTATAAGAAAAACTTAAATGTCCACTGGTTTTAGTGTTCAGGTGTGTAAATGTGGATGTGTGTGTGTGGGTATCATCCATCTCTCCACCTTGCTGACACATCAAGGTAAATAAAGAGTTTTAAAACCCAAGTATGTGTTTATGTCTTAATGCAAAAAAGGGCTAGGCAGAGGGAACAGAGGGAAGCTCTGTGACATTTCTCCCCCCTTCTGCAGACGACCACTGTCATCCTTAGTGTCAAACCTCCACCCCTCCAAGAACCGAGGTCGAAAAGCCTGTTTCAGCATTTACTTCCTCTGGGATACGGGACAAAAAATCAGCAACCTTGTTTCTGGCTCCCGGGAAGTATTTCACCGTGAACTGGTAGGGCTGAATAGACAAAGCCCATCTTGTAATCCGGGCATTGGAGTCCTTCATTCGATCCAACCATTGCAGAGCTCGATGGTCGGTTTCTAACACAAAGGGTCTCCCCAGAAGGTAGTACCGGAAGGAATCTGTGGCCCATTTTATGGCCAGGCACTCCTTCTCTACTGTTGAATAATGGGTTTCTCGCGGGAACAGTTTCCGGCTCAAGAAGGCCACTGGTCTGCGGTCTCCATCCACTTCCTGCACTAACACCGCCCCCAGTCCAACTCCAGAGGCATCTGTCTGCAGGATGAACGGTTTCTGGAAGTCCGGGCTCAGCAGAACGGAGTCTCCACATACTGCCTCTCGTAAGTCCTGGAAAGCTCGCTCACATTGCTCCGTCCATACCACCTTGTTGGGAACTGTAGCTCTAGTGAGATCTGTAAGCACAGAGGCCCTGGCAGAAAAGTTAGGTATAAATCTGCGATACCATCCCAACAAGCCAAGGAAAGATCTCACCTGTTTCTTAGTGGTAGGGGGACGGTACCTTCGGATGGTCGCTACTTTATCCAACTGCGGCCGAATGACTCCTCCTCCAATCACAAATCCCAAGTAGCCAATCTCTCTTTTGGCTATTGTACACTTCTTGGGATTGATGGTAAGACCTGCTGTCTTAATTCTCCCTAGGACTTGCCTCAGATGTTGACAGTGGTGTAGTAATTTCAAGCTCAAAACGGAAATATTTATGACGAATTATAACTGGTTATGATTCATAATAAATATTTAGATTAGATATTTGAATTAACTGTAGCAGAATCAATATTACCATTACTTGATCTGTCCGTCCACCGAGCAGACAAAATAATCATTTCTTCCCAGGTTTCACTGAAGATGACCACATTGTCCAGATAAGCTGCAGCAAACTCCCGAGTACCTTGCAGGATCTGATCCATTAGGCGTTGGAAAGTCAGGGATCCGATAACTCTTCTGGCGGGCTGGTGTTGCCTCCCTAAGGATGACATCATGTAGTACCAGGTCAGTACGCCCCGGTTTCTCCTCAAACAACTCAGGATCCAACAGCTGCTTTACGTGGTCTCTTTGGGGCTGCTCTAGATGGGATACATCCACTGTTTGTTGGACGCAGCTGGTTGGAAAATACTGTTCTGTCGGTTCCTCTTCTTCCCTGACCGCCTGAACACAGAAATGAGAAGCCTCCGACTCAGCCCTAGGGTGGAATTCTTTCAACAAATTAATATGGAAGATTTGCCTGTTCTTCCCCCGCTCTGGCATAAAGATCTCATAGGTGACACTGCCAGTTTTCCGCACTATCGTGTAGGGACCATGCCACTTAGCTAGCAACTTATTCTCACTGGTAGGCAGCAGCAGCAGCACCTAACATTGCAAGTACCATCCTTGGGTCCCTCCCACTGTTCCTTAAGCAGGTCCAACGTATCTCTAACCTGTCGGCCATATAACAGTTCAAATGGGGAGAAAACTGTGGAGGCCTGCGGCACCTCCCTGTAAGCAAACAACAGATATGGCAACCATTGGTCCCAGTCTGCCCCTGACTTAGAAATGAACTTGCGCAGCATGCTTTTTAGGGTTTGGTTGAAGCGCTCAACCAAACCATCTGTCTGGGGGTGGTAAGGTGTGGTCTTAAAATCCCCAACAGTTGGTACACCTGTTTTAACAGCAAGGACATAAAATTAGTACCCTGATCGGTTAAAATTTCACGGCGAACACCCACCCTAGAAAACAGCTGCACAAGGCAGTTAGCTACTTGTCTAGCTTTGATGTTTCTAACTTGGTGGCATAATCACAGATCACTAAAATGTACCTGTTCCCATTCTTACTTCTCTCTAGGGGCCCCACTACATCCATTCCCAGGCGACTGAAGGGTGTGTCAATAACTGGCAATGGTAATAAATGTGCGGGTGCCACTCTCCTTCCTGAAGTCATCTGACACTCTGTACAGGTACGAATGAACTCGGTTACATCAGTATATATCTTAGGCCAAGTGAACCGACTTGCAATCCTTGCTAATGTTTTATGTTTGCCTAAGTGTCCAGCCCATGTAACAGAATGTCCCAGAGTCATAATGGTATGCCGCATTGATTCTGGAACTACTACCGCCTCAACTTCCCCTTTCACCGGATAGAGTATTCCCTTCTTCAGGATGTACTTTTCCTCCATTAAACAAGAGACAATGTCATTTCTAACCCCATCTACCTCAGACACCTTCTGGAACCAGTCCTGTAAAGTAGAATCTTTTTTCTGCAGTTCCACTATGTCCTCAGGGATAATCATGTTAAGAGGCCCTTCAGGTAACGGTAGCTCCTCAACCTGCCTATTCTCCACACTACCCCCAAATTTAAGCTTACGCCTTTCCTTTTTAGATTTATGTCTTTTCTCACAGGCTACCTCAACATCAACATCAGCAAATGGCAACTCACTGAAGTCTGCTCTAGCACTCTGAGACCGGGTTACCGCATAACAGGATTGAACTTGGGACACCAAATCACAGAGAATGGGGAGATCTTGCCCTAGGACTACCTCCTGAGGTAAGTGGGCCGAGACAGCCACATGCAACAAGAAAGTCTGCCCCTGCACTGTTAAGTAAACCTCAGCAGTAGGATACTCCCTAATTTCTCCATGCACACAGCAAACTTTACTGAAGTTCTGAGTCATATATTCATCTTCCGGAACCAAGCTGTCATGCACTAGCGTCTGAGTGCTACCTGTATCCACTAAGGCTTTGGCTGACTGACCATTCACCAGTACCCGCGTCAATAATTCTGTGGTGTGTGCTTGCAAAGAGAGAGAGCAGAATGCTTCACCTTCCTGGATGGACAAAGGGGCTTAGTATGTCCTAACTCACCACAATAATAGCATCTAACTTCCTGCTTGTTAGTTCTATCGCCTGGCTTACCAGCAAAACTCACTTTGCATTGGGCATGACCACCCTCACCCCCAGACTTACTTAACCCTCTTTGACTCCGACCTCCAAAGCTGCGCTGGGCATCTCGGAGTGCGGCCAGGTACCTCTCTGCCAGCTTGGCTGCTTCTTCTGCTGTGGCCGGATCATGCTCCTTAATCCACACAGCCATGTCAGGACTTATCATCCTCATAAATTGTTCCAAGATAATGAGTTCTGACATCTGCAGGATAGTGCAGGCCTCTGGCTTTACCCACTTTGAAAATAGATATTTCAGTCGCACATAGAGTTCCCGGGGGGTCTCATCCAGTAGAATCTCTGAAGAGCGAAACCTTTGCCGGTAGATCTCTGCATTAATCTCATATTTTATAAGGATGGCCTCCTTGACTTTGTCATAGTCCTCAGCATCAGCCCCATCCATGGACACAACATTTCCTGTTAACAGGGGAACCAGTCTTATCGACCAATTGGTTTTAGGCCATCTACATGCGGTGGCCAATCTCTCAAAAGCCGTCAGGAACTGCTCAATGTCGTCATCTCTAAAATCTCTAAAAAATTTGCTAAAATCATTTAAGTTAATTTTTTTTCCTCATTAATGTACACACAGCACCCCATATTGACAGAAAAACACAGAATTGTTGACATTTTTGCAGATTTATTAAAAAAGAATACATTAATGAGGAAAAAAAATTAACTTAAATGATTTTAGCAAATGGCTGCAATATAACAAAGAGTGAAAAATTTAAGGGGGTCTGAATACTTTCCGTACCCACTGTATGTGAGCACAGGGCTTTTGATTGTAGTGAGTAGGCTTTCATGTTGACATTAGTTGAATATTTTCATTATGAAGTGATGTGTTGTATTCACAATATCTGATGTGGTTAGTTCAAGTGTGCATTCTGATGTGGGGGCGTGGATGGTAGTAGTTAGTTCTTTGTAATGAGAGTGAACTTGCTGGACACAGAGGGGACAATTCCCAACTGTGTTTTTGCACCCATAAAGGGCACTTCAGAAAGGGGATGCCATTTATAAGGACGTTCCAAGTGAAAATGATCAACTGACCCTTCCACAAGTGTGTTGGTGAAGGGAACATGTATTTGTCACTTTGCGCATGTAAAGTTATCTTTTATGGTTTTGACCCAGGGTGATAAGTCCTTGAGATTCATGAAATGGGCACTGCGGTCCAAATTCAAAATATTAGAGAGAGTCGTTTCTCCCACCCCTCCTCCTCAGACATGACACTCGCATGGGTTGCCACACAGCAGGAACAAGTGCAATTGACAACAGACGATGAGCATTACACTGTAAAATGCAGTTTTTTTAGGAGAGATAGAATCTGCAATCTCTTACTGAACTAGTTTGCTGGCTTCCATGGCTGCAACATGCAGTAACTTTGTTTTGGGAAGCCTTTTACTGTAAGCATCTGAGAAAACGAGCGCGTCTGATTTCACTCCCTTGGTGACGTGGCAAAGGGATCTCATTATAATATTACCGCCCCTTAATCTGTAAGTTTCCCCCCACGGCGCCGTCATTTTGATTTCGCAAGCGACAACAGTGTACCAGCTCTAATAGCATGGCGAAAGTTTGAGCAAAACATGCTAACTGTCCTATCTTTGGCTGCACATACGAGCACAGAACACTATTTAGAGTCCCAGCCTCAGAGGAGACAAGAAAGCAGTGGATTTATTTACTGTATATTGCTGCTGCCACACAGATCTAAAATAAACATGCAATTTATTTCCCAGCAGTTTACCTTCACAGACATAAC